AAAATAAACACGACTCGGGCAGTCAGAGGGCCAATAACTAAAATCAACCAATCAAAATGCTCTATTGCCGGTCAATATTCTCTCAGTATTGGACCGGGCACTGTCCCGAATGGTCCCGAACGATACCGCACTTGTGTCCCTTTGAACTTCAGTCGTATAATAAATCTCTTATTAACCAAGCGTGCTTGGGACCGTACTGGAAGAATATCGGCCCTCGGTCATTTTTGTGCGGACCGAGCTGCGCTCGGTCCGTACTGTTAAGACCTCGGGTCGATATTCTCCCAGTACGGCACTCGCGCTTGGTTAATAAGATATATATATACCATCGACTAAGAGCTGTTATTTTTCCGGCAGGAATTTAAAGATTCCCCGGAGTTTTTGGACCTCGCTAACATGATTGGAATGCCGACTGAACGCTGTGCGAGGCTAATGGCGGTAGGAATGGCGAACAACTTGGATGAAATATGGATCTCTGAGAACCCGCTGTTAATGATGCTTTACGCCGCCCAGTACTTTCCAAACTTTTTAAGATGGTATGTGCTTACTTACGGGTTTATTCTTTGCCCTTGAACCATCAGGGGTTGGGAGGATGGTGTCACGTCGATCCTTAATCCGCATGCGCAGAATTTTGTTGTTATATTGGAGTAGAAAGCAAAAATGAATACCAGCAAACAAAGAAAAAAAAAACCAAAAAGGAAGAAATGTTAAGAGAGTAATAGTAAGAGGGTAACCGAATTGAAAAGATGATTGAGTCTTATCTTCTGAAGAGTAGCAGGAGTTTTCTGGTCCAACCACAGAGCGAAGTAAAGAAAAATTAACTTAGTCCCAAACTACTTTGGGACTAAGTTGATTTAAGATTTTTCTTAGCATACAAAAAACTTACAGATCTCCTATTGGTTCCTTTCTCTTCACCACAATCTGCAGGAATCTTTAGAAATCGATAAAAAATGTATCCCAGCGTCGTGTGAACTCTGGGAAGCAAGGCATAATGCTGAGATAATTGTTTCGCCAATTTCTGTTGAGCCGCGTTTTCAATTAGCTTGGAATGACAGAGTGCTCTTTGTATAACAAATCCCCCTTTCAGTTTGTTCTTAACTCTGTTTACAGCTATTTCAATTAAGGCCCCTTTTTAATATCTTCTATATTCAGGTTCTCAAAGGAGTTTGGAATGGAGCTAATTAAGAAAGCGTCGAAAGGGAACCAGTGACAGGAAATGGTTACGGGTTGCCGAGGGACTTTCTAGCACCCAGTTTTATTTTGATATTAATTGTGAAGAGAGAAGATTCCTTTTTTCTGTTTCCTTTTCGGATCGCTAATCACTTTTTTTATATATTTTTTCTTTTCACCACAATTGGCAGTAGTGACACAATCTGATTAGCCAATTTGCCGTTGTCGATAAGAGTACAGACAACGCTGCACGCGTTAACGCGTCACGTAACGTGTGACGCACCTAAAGAATCGTTTTCTTAGACGTTGATATCGTGGCTGCGCCTCCTGAGTCCACAACATTTTGACTACTGAGATGACGAAAATCGTTGTCAATAAGAGTACAGGCCACGCTGAACCACTGTCGATTTGTTAATTTTACAATGAGGTAGAGGTTGAGAT